GCTCGAGCTGGAGCCCCACCCCACCCCCACCCTGCGCCCGGAACTCTCCCCCTCCCAGATGAACCGGGACCCTGCCCGGGTCACTGCAGCCTCCTCGCAACTCCCGGGTTGCACTCCGCGCCCCGAGGGGCTGCTAGCCCCTGACGGTAATGACCGGCGGACGAAGACGGGTTTGAAACTCGGCTTCCAGACCTTGGAGCCGGAGAGCAATTAGAGCCCAGCCCGGGGTCGCCGGGCTGAGCGCGCGCCGCGTCCCGGAGGCGCTAGAGAGCAGCAGCCTCAGTCCCGCTGCCCACGGCCGCCCAGGGCAAAGCCCCAGGCTGGCTTCCTAGGCTCCAGGTACTCTTTGGAAAGGGCCGAGCCTGGGTTTTAGGCGTAGTAGAGATGTGCGCCTACTGTTAAGGCGGGGACCACGTAGATAAATGCAAACAAGGCGATGCTCGGAAATGACTTAGTCCATATCGCTTTCAAGGACTAAGACTAAGAGTAACATGATTTTTGGTGTGGCTTTGGCTTTGGGTGTGCTTTATTTTTAGCGGTATTTGTTAAACAGGTTGAAACCACCCTAAATTCCTGCTTCCCCCAGTTGAAGGGATTTTTAGTTAGGTTGTCAACCTCTTTTTTTCTTTTTTTGTCTTTTTGAGACCGGTCTCACTGTGTAGTTCAGGCTGAACATGAGCTCACTTTGTAGCCTAGGCTGGTCTCGAACTCTCAGTGATCCTCCTGCCTCAGCCTCCCAAATTCTGGAATTACAGGCATGCACCACCACGCCCAGCATCCTCTTTTGTCTTAAACCAAATTATGGTTCAGATAAAATTCAGCATCAAGACCAATGGGAAATGGTATATACGGCGTCCCTGGTTTTTGTATACAGCTCACCATTTTAACGAGTTAGCTGTGGCTCTGCACAGTTTCGACCCTTTGTCTGGTCCGCCACCTCCCTCCTGTGTCACCACCTTCCCTCCGGCGCACACTTAATTAAGCCCCCTTCTACCTTTAGTGTTCGTCCTTTGGATGCCAGTTATCTCTGTATTCCAGCTTTTTGGCTGAAACTTCTCATCCCTCCCGCAGACATCCCTCCTCGCTTTATAGATTTTTTTTTTTTTTTTTTTTTTTGGTACCGGGAATCGAACTCAGGGCCTCGAGCTGAGGCCCGTCCCCGGGGCCCTTTTTTACCTTCTTAATTAATGCTCTTTTGCTCTTCTTTTTTTCTCTTGTCTTTGGGAAGCCACTCTACCTCCATTTTTAAACCTTCCCTTCCCCTTTCTTAGCCTTTTTGCCGCCCCTCCTCTCCGCAGGGAGCCGGTGTTTTACATATGGAAGGAGCCTTTCACCAAATCGCAAGCTTTTGCCGAACCGCCTTTCCAAGCACTCACACTTCCTGTAGTAGAAAACTATCTAGGAACAGGAAGCCGTCGCTGGTCTCGCCCTTCTGATGTAGAACTTAGCGGCTGGAGGAAACTGAGCCAGGTGGTGCCTTGAAAAGAGATGTCTTAGTCCTGTTATTCTCGGTCAAGTGCAAGATCATTTAAGTTGCACCGAGCTGAATGGAGGGACTGTGAAATACGATGCTCTTTCAACCAGTCTCTGCATGCAGATGCCACCGTCTTCAGCCGCTGCCAGGACTGCAGTCTAAGTATAAATGGACAGGTGGCCTGGATGGGTTATGTCAGTTCAGCTACTCCCTACCCAGGGGACTTCAGGAGATCGAGAAAGCGGAGGAGCGTAGGGGGAGGAGATCTGACCTGGTCTTCTCAGTACTGTTATTTACAGATCACTGATAAAGTTTAGGAGACCAGCCTTTCATTTTATGGGCAATGTGTTTTTGTTTTTGTTTTGTTTTTTTTTTTTTGGTTTTGGTTTTTCTCCGGTACCGGGAACCGAACTCACGACCTTGCGCTTGCCGGGCAGGCGCTTTGCCACTGAGCTAAATTCCCAGCCCCTTGGGCAATGTGATTTTTAATTTTTATTCATTTATTTAGGTACTGAGGATTGAACCAGGAGCCTTGCATAGGTGGGCAAAACTACTACAAGCTGAGCTAACTGCAGCCCTCCGACCTTTCTTTCTTTCTTTTTTTCTTTTGAGACAGAGTTTTGCTAAATTACCAAAACTGAACTTGAATTTGGGATCCACCCCAGCCTCCTGAGCAATTGACTAGCTGGGATTATAGACTTGTACCACCACACATGGAAGGTGATTATCTTATTTTTTCTTTTTTGGTTTTTGGTTTTTTTCCAGTACCGGGAATCGAACT